TTAGATTGTCCATGGCAGCTTTCTCTCCCTGCAGAACCTAACCTCAGCATCAATACGCGCCTCCGGCGCCAAGGATCTGAGGTCTTGAAGTTCAGCGATGTCCTTCGAAGCAACAGAGCTTGAGGGCTAGAGACTCATGGGAACAAGGAAGCGTTGGAAAGGATCTTGGCTTGCGTGTCCCACACATGCCATTCAACAAAATGTCTCAACACAAGCTGCCTGATGCTGTTTTTTTGGCATCGCATTGACACAGAAAGGGCTTCTGATCAAAGTGTCTGTGCCTCTTGCAAAGGAGCTGCAACGCTCGGCTGAAGCTAGGAATGCTCTTATATAAATGCATGCTGCGCCACTCCTAGAGAAGAGGCCATCTGCAAGCCTGGGAGCGATCATTATGGATGATTTCAGGGCTTTAACTTTCTGTCTCCAAACAAGGATAATCATCGGTGTACTGTGTGGAACTAACTTTTCCCTAAGTCAATCTCAATCCCCGTTAGCCAATTAGGAAATGTGTGCTGTACAGGTCATGAGCGTCATCTGCCGTGAGCTGGACGCAGAAGATGTGGATGCGGTCGCTGGCGGAGCCGATGGCGGAGTTTCAGGCTGAGCCTGCTGAGGTGGCTCAGGCTCCACATCCTTGCGTCGAGGAAGCGGCTCCCTGGGCTGGAGGATCACCTTTGCACCATTGTCACCATCGCCAGCGCCATCTTTCCTCCGCCGCTTTGACTCAAACACACTGAGACAGGCTTCCGAGTTGATATGCTGATACATGCTGTCCTCATGCCCTGACACCCACTTTGCATTGTACTTGCGCTCGGTAGGCCTCCCAACCCTGATACTTCCGGCATCTCGTACTCTCTTCCTGGTGACGTTGAAAATTTTCCCTCACCTTCACCTACTGCCCACAGATGTTGCATCTGCGTCCACGATCCTTCTCATAGGCATCCTCGTTCCGGCGAGGCTTCTGCTTCTCCTTCTCTTTTTCTCTTTCTCTTTTCCTTTCTCCTTCGGCTCCGCTGGCGCCGATGATACCTGTCCATGGTCTTCGCAGGCTTCGGCTCCTCTTCAGAATCCACAGAGCAGGCGGTGTAGTACGAGTACGAACCTGATGTGGATTCTTCGTTTTCCTCCCCAGAATCAGGAGACAAGGAAATCCTCTGGACCATGTAGGCCACTTTTCAAGTTGGATGGCGCAGCTGTTGCTGCCGCTTGAACAACAAAAAGGGCATGCGTTGGCAATGAAAGCACTCGAGCATCGACGCATCTCCGCACTGCTAGAGGGGGAGGCTTGCGTTGATTGGTAGGTCTAAGAGCCATAGCAGATTGTTGTGCTTTTGAGTCCTTTGTTCTTGAATTTGCTTGCTGGATTACGCCCAGCCCGGCATGTGTTTTCGGAGTTCCATAGGAGCGTCGCGATTGTGCCGAACAGCAGGTAGTGCCTGCGCCTGTGTGTTGCATTGTTGGGGTTGTGCCGTGTCTGTGTGCGCAAGCATCAGGTAGCAAGTGCATGTTGCGGTTCTGGTCAAGCAGCATGCTTAGATTGCAGGCAGAAAATCGTCGTTTTGTGTTAGTGCCATGGGCTCTGACACCAGACCAACCAATCCGGACAGCGTCTCACGGGACGGCCAAGCCATGCTGGTAATGGGCCGTCTGTTCCTCCTGTTCCTGCAGTTATGTCGCCGGAAATTCTGTGATCAACGTTTCTAGTGATCTTGATGAGCCGATGCAAGAGTCCACTGATCATGTGTTTCAGTTGCCGGAGTCTTTCCGACCAACCGCTGATGTTACAACATGGTAGCTCGCCGCTGCGTGATGCTGACAGTGCAGCGCTGAAGTGTCTCCAGCAAGGGTCTGTGTCATTCTGATTTTCAGAGAATTGCGTCGAAGCTTTCGGCCTCTGGATTGTCTGGGCGCAGTATTCTTAATGCTGATGGTCATGTGGCTAGGGCATTTACTACTGGAGCATTTGTGAGAGGTGGAATTGCTGGGCTACACTCCAATTTCCATACTCGCCCACGGCTTACAAAGTTACCTGCGTGTGTCGTGCATACACAGTGCCCTGACATGTTTTTCAGCTCGGTGACTTTGAGCTCGAACTGTCAATCGTCTCTTCACAGGGACTCTCGTAACCATGGATGTATTTGCAATACAGTTATTCCCGCGTCCAGTTTTGTGGGAGGCCAACTGTACCTCTTCGTAGAGGACAGCAATGGCCAAATATAGGTTGATGGTTTGCTCGGCAACGCGTTAGAGATTCAGCTGCCATTTGTACGTTTCAATGGCCAAGCTGGACATACTACTCTATCTTGGATTGGAGACCGCCGTTCGACAACCGTGGAGCCTGAGTTAGCTTGATTTACAGCAGCTTAAAACGAAATTTCTTTGAGGACCTTTTGGTTGTGAGCTTTGATTGCGCTGTGCGTGTGCTGTTTTAGTGGCTGATACCGTTGCTTGGTTCAGGCGCGGATAGCTTTCTGTACCGGTAGGTGTTTGTGCGTTTGAGACATGGGCTCTGCCCTTTGTGCTTTAATTGCCTTAGACCGATGGGTTCAAAATATACACAGCAAGAGCTGGTGAGTCTTCGACAGGATGTTTCTGCGTAATTGTTTCAAAGCCAAGTGCGCAGCAAGCTAGTGATTGCGCAGCAGCAGTTGGGTGTGTTAACTACTCAGGTACTCAACAAGAACTGGTGGATTTGCGTGAGAAAGTACTGGAGTCATGCACTTGGTGACTGTGTTACAGGATCAGGTTACGTCTCTTATTACGACAATATCTGACTTGGAGCGTAACAGTGCCGAGTTTGCAAATAATATTGCGGAGCTGTGGGGCCGGGTTTTTCGAATTATGACGGCTGCTAGACCAGCGCATGGAACAATGGGAGCTGGGGAGTCCTGCCAGAATATGCTGCAAACGGACACACTTGGGCAGCTAAGCAACGTCAGGCTCAACACGCGCCCACAGCGGACACATGGCGACAACTTTTGCACGGCAGTGGATGGACATGGTGCCAGGACGCTACCGAGTCGTGTTGCATGTTCTTTGCGCTAGGCCCAAAAAATTTTGTACAGTTGTAGTGTGACTAAACAATGTCTCGTGTGCTGACCTACTGGCAGTTCGAACACACCGCAGGATGGATTGCGTCACAGATTGAAGGAATCCTGCCAGTCCGTGTGGCGATTCGATTTCTGCGAAGAGTAGTTGCAATCTTGGAGCGCAGCCCAAACTATCCCGTGGCATACTGCGTGTGCAGAGAGACTTGCTCCATCCTGGACGGCAACATGACCTGCGCTCGTGCTTCAGAACATCATCGGCGCTGTAGGTGCTGATACCATCAACAGCTCGATGTCAACTTCAGATCAGGGTAGGAGCGCCGCAACATCACCGTTGACGGATTAGAAAAAGAAGGATTCCCCCACGGCTGCTTGCACTGACATGGCTTGTAGGTTTGAAGCGTGCAGGAGGACGCTCGTGTTTGCACCTGGAACTTAAACTTGTCAGTTGTATTTTGCGAGCTCTGGCGCGTCCTATGCTTCAGCCTTTGCATCTTAGTTTGTTTTCGTATGCTCTGGCTCGGGCAGAAGCTTTTGATTTCCATTGGTTTCATGTGTAGCTGCTCAGCCTTTTAGCATGGAGCTGCAAGAGAGCTTGGTTACAAGGGCAGTTTCATACATTGTTCTACGATGTTCAAGTTTCGTTCAGCATCCCTGAAGCCGTTCAGAGCCTGTTTGACAGTGATCGTGAGATTGATCAGTCAGCTGTAGCCTCTGATGAGGAGTCCGTGGATTCAGCTACTCGGGAGTTTTTGTTTGCTGAAGACTATGTTGTGAGCAGTCCTCTTGGATTACGAGCGAGAGCGTGGAGCTGTGCACCACAGATGCAGCTCAGTCTGGTTAGACATCGCACTCGGGCATACTTCGCTGGCCTATCGCATTCGTTTGGAAGGATTGCATGTTTGGCAGCTGTATCGCAGTCGTGGCTTCGAACAGTGATGTCAGAGATTGCAGGAGATTGTTGCCTGATTGTTGCTTACTTGGAAGAAGTCTCCCGAGCAAACAACTTTCCGTACAGGGTGGTGCGCAATACGGATGATGAGTACGTAGTGCGATATGCTGGTAGAGTGTGCAGAAGTTTGCAGTGGGGCCGTGTGATCCATCCGGTGGTGTTGTGGCTCTGACAGCTGAGACTGATTTCCACAGTAGACGTGTTCAGAGCTGATCATTCGGAGTGTGCTGCAGTTCTTCCAGGAAACAGACGTGTGTGGGTTGATGATCGTTTGCGTTAGAGCAATGAATATGAAGCCTACCCCTTCTACGGAGGGTGTGTGTGTGTGTGTCAAACTCTGTGATTAAGAGACTTAGGATGTGTACGATGCCGGAGTAGGCTGCAAGGGAGTGTGGCACTTGCGTCCTACCACATTCAACGAAGCTGTGGATGCAAGTGGGAAGCAAGACCTGATCAGTCTTGTGTACTTGCAAATAAAATCGGTCGGCAGGGGTGCTTTGATGCACAGCTTGTGGCCAGTTTTTGCGGTAGGTTTTCATGTCAGGCAAGCACAGTAATGTCAAACATGTCAAAACAGTTGCTCAGCGCGGCTGCAACATGTCAGATATGTCAGTGATGCACTCAAAGCTGGAGACCCGATGCTTGAGTTGAGGCCTATCCAGAACAAGAACAGGCTTAAATCAACACACTTCACCAGTTCAGCAAGACAGATTTTTTCAGCGGACATGTATGTTTTCAGTCCAGATATATGACGAAACGATGTTGCCAAGCAATTTTTACTTGACTTGGAGACCTGCACAAGTGTGTGTCCAGGCATGGACGTGGAGCTCCCGGAGTTGGCAGAGGCGGCTTCGCCATCGCCAAGCACAACGCTACTTTTAAAAAGAGATTGCGATACGTTCATTCTTGCCTGTTCATCTCTGGAGGATGGTCGTAGCCGTGTGGTTTGCTCGGTGTCGGGGGCCTTGGCTTCAGCGTAGACGAAGCGTGTGATGAAAGCGATGACGAACCGTGCGTGCGGTGTTCTTGTTTTGAGGTGCAGTGGGGCGGAGGAGGTGGGCGGCTGCGTGCTGACAACCCGCCGGCCAAGATGGAACCCTAGGCATGGCTGAAAAGAGATGGGAGATGCAAGGGCAGATGAGAGACAGGTAAGAGATGAAACAAGGGTTGTGAGGGCGTTGTGACGTTGATTTCTTGAGGCAGAAAACGTTGACCCTGGACTTTCATGGCCGTTGCAGCTTGGCCTCTGCGAAGAACTTCCAACTCGAGGTCGTCTCACTTTTTCTCGTTCACTCATCTTTACACGTAGACGACGTAGCCTTTAGACACGCTGTGAGGCGGAGGGCGACGCAAGCCGGGTGGTGCTGCTATTTGGCAAGGCTCACAAATGCTCACAACTACTTGGTGCATCTTGTTTGCCATGTTTGCCAGTGCTTTGAGCTCAGAGATGAGATTTAAACATTCTTGGTTAGAGAAAGCTTGTGAGGTGGAAAAGGACCGCTTTGTGTTGGACTACGGACACCCCCTGGGCGCCGTCCAGGCCAGATAAAATTTGAAAGCTGCAGGTGCGCTGCAATTTCTGCAAGGGGCGAAGTTTCTGGAGGCCTTTGCTGCGGCGTTATCGGCTTCTCACTGGAAGTGAGCCGTGAGTCGCGTCATGTCGCGTCAGTAGGTAGGGAGGGCAAGGATTCGGCAGCTGTTGGCGCTGCATCGCTTGCCACCAAATTTTGTGATCTCGGGAGGTGATGAGACACCCCCTAAGATCTCCGCTTCTGCATTTTGTCTTTCCACGTAGGGAAAGACAGCTTCACGAAGCACAGCGAGCACAACAAGCATGTGCGTGTCTTTCAGAGAGCGGAGCGGAGTGGTCCAAAGTGCCAAGCACTGTGACCGAGCTGCTCGTGCCTACAAACTTTGCTCCTTTTTGTCCACATGTCCCAAAAGAGGTCCTGGTCTCTTTGCGCCGTTCTCATTCTTCGGTTTCTTAAGTCTGAATACGTTTTGCCGTAAAAAACATCCTAGCCTGTGAGAGCGTTCGCGAAAACTCCGAAGGGGGTTTGGGTTCATGTTCTGAAGTGCAACAAAAGCCCTTCAACCCTTTCTTCCAAAATTTGGCAGTGTGGCTTGGCCTAAGGCCCCAGGCCCCTGCCGTTTTCAAGACAGGACCGTGCTGAAGAAGCGAGGGGTTTTGAATTAGCTTGCCTCGACTTTTGAGACTTTGAGACTTGAGTGATTCGTGAGCTTCTGTGAGGATCAAGAGGAGACATTTCAAGTTTGGATTCCGAGCCATCGGAGCAGCGGGCTCCGCCACCCGCCATGCCGGCCGACCTGGATCAGACACTCGACGAGATGATCGAGGGAACCTGGGACGCCAAAGGCAAGGGCAAGGACGGCAAGGATGGCAAAGCAAAAGGCAAAGGCGGTTACAGCGGTTACAGCAGTTACAGCTACAGCAACGAGAATGGCTACGGCTATGGCAAGAGCTGGGGAGGGAAAGAAAAGGGAAAGAAGGGCAAAGGCCGCGGGAGCTTCGGGAGCTCTGGGACAAAGCTGGATATGAGCCTGGATGAGATTCTTGATGATGGATATGTCGGATATGATGGTTACAAAGGCAAGGGCAAGGATGGTAAGGATGGCAAGGGCAAGGGCAAGGAGGATTCGAACGGTTACGGCAGCTCCAGCTTCGCATTTTACTCTGACTCATCCTGGGGAAAGAGCTACGGCAAGAGCTTGGGCAAGTATAGACCAAAAGGTGATGGTTTCAAAGAGCCCTTCAACTCAAAAGGTGACAAGGGCAAGAGTTGGGGCAAAGGTAAGGACGCAGGCAGTGGGAGTGGATCACCTTATTGGATGGAGCATGATGACTGGCGCACGGAGGAGGAGGAAGGAGCAAAAGTGGGGGACAGGTACGAAACTGACGGCTACAACGGCTACAGCGGCTACAGCGGCTACAGTGGCTACAGTGGCTACAGCGGCTACAGCGGTGCTGCTTACAAGGACAAAGGCTGGGGCAAAGGGAATGGTGAGGGAGTTTGGGCTCGCAGTCTTGTTGCAGATCGACGGAGCTATGGCTACTCAGGCGGTACATCTGGTTGTGCTGGCTATGCTGTGGGCCGGCCAGGGACATGGAGCCGCGTGGACGACGAGCGGCGGGACCGCGAGCCGCTGCGCGAGCCGCGCCGCGAGCCGCTGTGCGAGACGCTGCGCGAGGCACGTCGGGAGCCGCGCCGGGAGCGTGAGCTCCGTGAGGTGCGGCCGGAGGCCAGAGCTGAGGCTCGACCTGAGGCTGGGCGAGGTCGCAAGCGGGCACTGGAGGAGGACACCCGGACCCCCACTGCCCCCAAACGGATCAAAGTCACCAACATTCCCAAGGAACTCAAAGCCGCTGACGTTAGGGAAGCTTTTGAGTCAGAGACCGGCAAGATTACCCTCTGCGAGCTCTCCAGGGGTACATGCCGTATCACCTTTGCGCGTGCAAAGGATGCTCAGCAGGCGGTGGACACATTCGATCGCGGCGAGCTCAATGGCAAGGTCATATCAGTCACATTGGAGGACTGAGCCAAGTTGCCAGCAACGTATGTTCTCACACCTCCTGCAGTGATCAGAGCATGGCGCACTTTCCACCTACGCCGAGCAGAGTTCACAAGACAGCTTGTCAGCACAGCCCTAACAAATGACCAGTCATGGTTCAGTCATTGAGTGATCTATTTTCATGCATGATTCATACAGACGTATACAACACTAACCACAGATGGTACACCCAGAAGGGCCAGAGTTCTTATTCATTTAAGGCATGTCTGTGTGTATCTCACAGCTGCTTTCCTGATCACAAAAGGTGAGTTGAAGGCTGCAAAGCCCGCTGACAAAGGGCGATCAAAGCCGCAGTTTCTTTAGCCCGCTCAGGCCTTCTCCTGCCAGACAACGCTTACCTGCATTATGAAGTCATACAAAAAAGGTTCGAGTGCGGTGCAGACTTGTTGTGAGGATGTTGCAGATCTTTCACATTGTAGTTCTGTTAGTGGTTATTGGCGTTCTCGCTGCGCTGCTGGCTGTTGCTGGCTGTCAGCGGGCTTGCCGGGCTTGCTGAGCAATTGCCTGTGCTGACGAGATGGAGGTACAGGCAAGACACAGGGTAAGGGGATGCAAGGGCCAACGAAGTGCAAGAGCTGCACCCTTCAGGCGAGGCCCCACGTGGGGAAGGGAGGATGTGCCCGGGCCTGAGCTCAGAGGAAGAGCGTGAAAAGTGGAAAGGTAAAGCTGTGTTCTGTGAGTTATGTAAAAAGTTCTGTGAAGTTCTGATTCCCCTGCGCTGATCTAGTCACTTCATCAATACCTAACTGCGAGCTCCAGGACAACATGGTAGTCTTTAAAGAATGCAATGAGAACCAAACGGCAACATGCTTCTCCAGACCTGCATACGCGACGAGGCAACGCCGGAAATGGCTCAGCATACCACAATATCCCAAAGGTACACCCCGATAGTCGAGCAGAAAATCGCGGTCGGGACAGGCTTGACGCAGACGGCAGATATGCGTGTAAAGAATCTTTGCCCCCTGCTGGTTACAAAGACCACAGGTCAAGAAGGCCCAAGGCATCCCACGGACACTTGATTTGGTGCGCCAGCACCAGCCTTTCAGCACGCCCTTGTCCAAAATCACAGAATCCAGCGACAGACGCTGGATGTCAGACCACCGTAGGCTGCCCCAAATCATTGCTAAAATAGCACAAAGCAGGAGCCCATCCTCACACGGGTCGCTGACAACGACCTTTTCCAAACGTTGCACGACAAAGAGGGGCAGCGGCAACGCCTCTTTCACGCGAGACTGCCGCCACATGCTGGCATCCTTCCAGGTCAGGACTAAGGGGTTCTGCAAAGTGTCGCAAAGCTGCGTCAACAGAAACTTGAACGCGGCAAAACCCATAGCACTTAACACACTCAACGCCGATCGCTTGCGGCGCCTGCCTCTGTCTGCAAAACAACCCTCAGAGCGTGCATCCAGAAAATCTAGGAGTTGTGGTAGAGACAGCCTGGGCGCCAGCACAAAGGGGCGCAAAACGAAACCCAAAGTTTCCAGCCGCAGAGGTGCTTCTTCAGCGTAGATGGCGCGCGATCCAGGAACAGGGGGAGTCTCTGCACCTCCAAGCCACTTGTCGCAGCCAACAACTGACTCGCAAAACCAATCCACAACTGCCACCCGCTCGTGCTCCAAATCTTCTTTGGATTTTAAGCTACAGCTCGCAACCGGCAGGGAAGGTAAAGAAGACACAGGCACTCTCCGCTGCACCTTAGAAGATGGCACGGTTAACGCAATAGCACCATCCGAGCCAGGCGGCTGGGCACATGCCACAACAGGCGATGAAGTCACAGCGATCGGCTTCAAAGACGAAACTTGATGAGGGGCAGGCCGCAACGTCTCTGAGGATAAACGCAAACCAACTGTGGAACGCACCTGCTTACGTGGCCTCTCCAATTCCACCACAAAGGCCGTTGGCAGCTTTCGCACGGCTTCGCACGGCTTCGCACGGCGACGGGCAGCATCACAGCCGCAGCAAACAGAGAAGAAAGAAGAGCACAGCAACGCACAGCACGACGGTGCAAAGCAAGGCAGAAGGCTTGCCAAAACACAAGACAAGCATCAGCTTGAGCCCCAAATGGCTCGGGAGTGGGCTTAGTTGTGAAAAGTTCTGACCGCTTCTTTCTTCTTCCTTCCCTAACCGCTTCTATCTCGCTTTCTGTGCGAGGCCTCTTCGAAAGCCCCGCTGCTGCTTGCAGCGCTCGCTTCCGTGGCCAGCTTCTGGGTGCTGGACAGGCCAAAGGAGGGAAGGGCGTAAGTTGAAAGGGAAGAGAAGCTTTAAGGAAAGCGTTTGATGTTTAAAGCCTTTTCACATCTTCCCCTTCTTGGGGGAAGATGGGAAGGTTGGGGACTGTCAGTGCTGCGCTGTTTGGGTCCTCAGGGATGCTGGTGCACCCAGCGCCATGGTCTCCAGTCCAGCGGGGCTGTCAGTTCTCAGTGCAATCTGTGCAATCTGTGCAATCTGGAACCGTCCTTGCAGTGCATGTGCATGCATGTGCAGACTCTCAGATACTCTGCACGTGGTCCCAGGTGTGGAGTCAGGGCCGTGAGGCCAGGCTGTCGAAGCTGCCACGGCAAGCCGACCCGAATCAGCTTCTTGGCTGTTAGCTGTTCTTAGCTGCAAAACCCTTCTGCATCATCTAGGAAATTCCTGATTCGACAGGTGGACCATGCTGCGGGACCTCTCCAAGAAGCAGATGCCCAGGAGAGCGCACAGCGGAGCGCACACAGCCCTTCTGAAGCTCAAAATCTCCTCTCTTGCTTTGAGTCCACCGTTGGCTTCTGCTCTATTTCAGGAAGCCGCCGTTCATCGCGATCAACCTCCTGAACAAGATCACTCGCATGAATAAGGAGGGGAAGAAGGCAGGATCAACCGCAGCAAGTCTCTAACGTGGATCATCCAGTGAACCTCCTGCAAAGCTTGTGCGGAGCTTGAAGCCTGCGAAGCCTGTCAGGAAACCATCCGAGTCTTCAGCCGGCAGTCCACAATCATACCAGCCATGATCGGCCACACCTGCGCAGTGCCCAATCTAGCCCGAGAGGAATGCTTTTACACTGTTTACACTGCTTCCACTCATCTTCCCGACTCACATTGCTTACTCTGCGTAGAAGTTCATGTCACGTCTTATCACATGCAAGGTACACAATGGCAGGGAGTTTGTTCCCATTGTGATCAACGAAGGGATGGTCCCTGCGCATGTTGTAAATCATGTTGCTTTGATCAACAACTTCCGCAATGTTTTGATGTTTTCTGAAGGTGGGCTTCAAACTGGGGGACTTTGTGCCGACGCACACCTTCACCTCGCATCCCAAGCAGGTTCCAAGCAGGTTTGGTTTAGCTGCATGGATTTGACTTAGCCGGCTCGTGGTCAGGCTAAGGTGACCAAGTACAGAGGACGATGAGAGCGATGAGACGTGATGAGATGCAGACGCGGAAACGCGTAACGGGTCCCTTTGCCCCTCAAAAAAGGAGGCACAGGCTGCGCTGCTGCGCTGCTGTGCTGCTGTTTTGCTGACGATCCCTTCACCCTTGCATCACCCTTGCATCACCCTTGCATCACCCTTGCATAACTTGCGTGGCTCACTCAAGCGCTCAAGTCCCATTCCTTGACGAGGCGAAGCACACGGTCAGTAAAGAGTTTGGTAAAGAGAAGCGGCGTGGTTGCGTGACTGTAAAGCCTGTAAAGCAGAAAGCAGTCCTTGAAAAGTTTTGGCTTAGGCTTAGCCAACATCTGTCAGCATCTGTCATGTACGGACCCAGTGGCTCCAAAGGCAAAGGCCTGGCAGGGGCCATGCCTTGGTGGTTTTCCCAACGCTTAGTGGGTTGTTCTGGTTTTGTGTTCTGGATGGTTTGCTTCATGAGGCAAAGGCGAGCGCAGCTTTGGAGGTCCTCCACCGGTGCTTCCTCAAGTCCGAAGAATCCCCAAGAATCCCGAAGAGAGGCTACTCCGGCTACCCGAATCGAGTGGCAGAGCGCGATGACCGTGACCGACGGGTGGATGCCTGAGACAAGAGCGGAGAGTTTGAGGGTCCTCAAGGCCTTATCGCCCTCCTCTTTCCTTGAGATCTTCTGAAGGACCGAGTCCCTCCTTCCGAGCGTCCGCTCGGGGACCGGACCATGGGAGACCGTCGAGGAAACGGATGAAACAGTGGCAAGACCTCGGCAAGACCGGAGCCAGGCGTGAAAAGACTACTGCTTTTCTGTCTCGAGGAGGTGAGCGCCGGGGCGACGGCCCCATGAACGACCGCCGCCGAGATGCCAGGAGCATCGGGCAGAGCCGGTGATGATTCGAATGTGGAGAGCTCAGAGGAGCTGAGCCCTGAGCCCTGAGCCGTGAGGAGCCACGTGGAGAACCGGCCTTCCGGACCACCGCGAGGTGAAGGGAAGGGAAGTTGAAGAGGTGAAGAAAGTGAAGACACACCATTTGAGTAAGAGTTTGTGCGAGGCCCGGAGTCCCGGCGGAGTGGAGCTGGAGGCGGCTCCGGCAGCCTTTTTGGTGGCTCCATTTTTTTTGCCGTTCACGCACAGCTTCTCGCCTCACCATTGGGCACTTTCAGTGTTTTCAAGCCGATCGGCTTGTTATCCTCCAGCATCTATGACAAACTCTCCGTTTTGAGCAGTTGTGTCTACCGTCTCGAAATCGAGCAACTACTCTTGCAGGTGTCATCAGATGGCTTGCATCTCTGACCTCCTGTTCATTTTCATCTTCACTCTAACTCTCCTAGCTAAAGTGTCTTGCCGTTCTGCAGTCAGTCAGCATCAATGGCTGCACCCATTTTGCACCTTCGCTATCATTTGAATTTGTCTGTTTGTCATCATTGGCTATCCACCTCGCCACGCTCTCTAGTTTTGCTCACCTCGTCAGCATGATCATCGTCAGTGTTCTGGAGATAGGGCTAGCTGCTGCCCCCAGCGTGATCATCGTCATCTTTTCCATCGCCGTCATTGTCTTTGTCGTTGTTGTTTTTAGTTTCGTTTCCTCTTCATCTTATTGTCATTCTTATCATTTTCCTATCGCATCTGCTTCTCGTGTTTCGTGGCAAGGCCTGCTGCTCAAGTCGATGAACCGAAACTGTTGTCTCTCTCCATGGAGCGAGAGCCGAGAGAGTAGCAGCAGCGGTTAAGCATCGAGGCAACTTTGGCGTCCCGCTATGACTGCTCTGAGAGCGAACGTCACCTCGTCTCATAACGTCTCAACTCTCATCTCCGTGTTTGAGAGTGGTGCAAAGATAGTGGCTAGGAATGTACGTTGAGTACACGAGTAGAGTACACGAGTCTTTGAAGCGCCTCCCTTTCGCAGGCGTCTCCGGGGCAGCCGTGCCGCCGCCCGCCTCAGTCTCCGCGGGCGGCCATTCGCCGCTCGGCAGAGATGAGAGAGCAGAGAGAGGGAGCAGAGAGACGGGGGGATGATAAGAAGGAGGGGAAGATAAGAAATAGGGGAGTATGTGTGGGATTGTGTGGGATGTGAAGCGGATGGAGTATTTTGTGCCAGGCCCGACCCGACGATCCACGTCTCAGGCTGCAGCAACGACACGGTCTCGAACATCATCCAAGGCCTTGGGGACGAGTCTCGTGCCGGCATGCTGCTTTCCGATTCTTTTGAGGCTTGTACAACACCAAAGAGTCGAACCACAACAAGCCCGTCTACAAGAAGGATTTGGAAAGACTGTGAAGCTGCAAAGCCATTAAGACTGAGAGAGGAAGGGCCCCCTGGCAGCGTGACGGTGCTCATTTACTACTGGGACGAGCGCCCGGGCCCTGCCAAGTAATCCTGAGCTGGAGTAGTCAGAGATGGCTGGGTCCAGTGTACCAGAAGTCACATGTTGGACTAGTGGATACAGGTCTGACCACAGGTCTGAGGTGGCAAAGAGAGCACCTGACTGCATTTGTGCAGAGAGGAAGAATGCGCCAGATTTTTTTCCCCGAAGCCCCTGGGCCCTGTGCAACATGTGCAACTCAACAACTCGGACGCAGCCGCTCACGGAGGATGCGGCCAAACCTCTTGCGGACATGTGCTGTCTCTCGGCTTGGCCCCTGCTGATTGAAAGTGACTATGTTGGGCCCTCTGTCTTAGGAGGGCCTTCCGGAAGCTGCAGGTATTGGATCATAGCGTGTCCGTAACGGCGTTGGGTGGCGGATCAGCCAACAGGATCAGCCCATGGTCGTAATGGATCAGTGGCTCCCGGCCAACTGGATCACACAATCTGCACGTAACAGCTCAGGCCTGTCAGATCAGGGAGCCGACAGCAACAACTACTGCTGACCTTAAACCCTAAACCCTAAGTGTTTCACTGCAGCCATGGCCCAGTGAATTTCCACAGCAATATAAGGCATTCACACCCTAAACCCCATATAAACCCTAAATCCTATACATGCGCACAAGGGACGGACGCGAGTTAGTTTGTTAGCCAGGAACAAACGTTTCCCGGAAACCTTTCGAATCTTTACT